GCTCCAGGCGACGGGTCAGCTCCAGGTGACTGGTCGGCTCCAGGTGACTGGTCGGCTCCAGGTGACTGGTCGGCTCCAGGCGACGAGTCAGCACCAGGTGACTGATCGGCTCCAGGCAACGGATCAACTCTAGGTGACTGATCGGCTCCAGGCAACGGATCAGCTCCAGGTGACTGGTCTGCTCCAGATCACTCCTTCGTCACTCGGTATAGAAACGACTGACGCTTCGGACCAATATGATGATCGAGCCGAAATAGCGCAGGCTGCTTCTATACAAAAAAAAACTTTTTAATCTTTTGGCACACTATCCTTACGAGGTGGTGGAACAGACAAAATTCTTCACGGATTTCCTCATCCTGAGATCTGGATCAGCCAACTTCGAAGATGGGTTGAAGCGTGGTAGTTGCACTTGTAGAAATCGATCAGTTTTATTTAATCTCGATGGTCCCGCCTGTAGTTGACTCGCTATCATTTTTTTCAACAGCTTCTCAACATGGCTAGTCTTCGGTTGGTCCAAGGGGTTGTTCGTAACATCCTCTCCGGTAAATCCCACTTCTGATGTCGAATCGCCAGGATTGCTCCCCGAGTGAGGCGTTTGGAGAAGCCATTTGGTTTTTTTGTATCGTCTTCTCTGGTATATCCCACTTCTGATGTCGAATCGCCAGGATTGCTCCCGAGTGAGGCGTTTGGAGAAGCCATTATTACAAATAACCACTAACAATAGTTAATAAACTAATCCTTCTGCAATATCAAAGCTAGTGATCTACATCAGCGATAAGTCTCAGCTACTGTGGCCTTTTAGTTCACCAGTCTGAATCTCAATCTTGAATGTGAATCAATCCATTCCCACTGATCCTTCGGCTGACGTATTCCACTCCCACTCCTCCGGGGGAAATACCCTTCTTCCCTGAAGACCCCGAAGATGTGCTGCCCCGATCATGCACACGTGTCCGTCCTTGTTCTCCCAAGTGCTGACAACGTTATTTGGCAAAACTGTTGTTTACACGCTCCAGCGTGGAAACAATGACTCTTTGTATCTCTACCACGTGTGGACTACGATGTTTGGTCAGGTGCTGTTGTCTTAGATACTCCGACAAATATATATTGGAGATTGATCCAGCGACCAAACTCCACAGAGTGGTTTGAAGTTGGTTTGAAGCCGATGTTGGTATTTGCTGCTGAGTTCCGTTATCTCATTCTTCATAAATCGGACTCTAGTGTATTGATGAATGTATTCGTTAGTCGAGAACCAGGGAGCATTGGCAATTGCTCTAAGCGTTTTTGACTGGAACCGCTGTATGATGTCAATGTTTGTATTACAAGCAGATCCCCATAGTTGTAATCCATAAGTCCATATCGGTTTTATTGTCGTTTTTTATATTAAAACTTTGTTTTCCGCTGAGATGGATGAGTATCTACCCATCAGCCAATGCAATCTTTTTACTGCCAGTTCCAGCTGTTTTCTTTTTGTCGTAATATGCTTTTTCCAGGTAAGTCGACTATCCAGATGCATGCCAAGATACTTAGCATCTTCAGCCTGTGGTAGGGCACAGCCATTCAGTGTAACGGGTGGACAAGTTTGTCGACTTAGTTTCATTAGCCCTAATTCTCCACTTTCTGAATCAATGTTCTATGCTATTCAGACTTCTTTGGAGTATCTGTGAGGCCGTAGTTTGGCTTTGGTGGGATGCTAGAACAAGGGTGTCATCAGCAAATGTGGCTATAGTATCGTGCTGAGGAGTTGGTAGATCAGGCGTGAAGATCAAATAGAGTAAGGGTCCAGAAACACTTCCCTGCGGGACACCATAGAGGATTGGGCGTAGCGAGGTCACTTCGTCCAAGTACGATTTGAATATGACGTAATATTTATGTGGGAGACACTTTTTAATTGTATATAGCAATCCTCCATGCCATAATCGGTAGAACGCCTGTGAGATGTCGAGGAAAGCGGCAGAGTCGTCCTCTTCTCCTCAAGACTTTTGCCAATCACATCCACCACACGATGCACCTGTTCCACAGTGCCATGTCGCTCACGAAATCCAAACTGGTATTCCGGAATGAGATGACTATCCAACAGCCAGGGCTTCAGTCTTTGCAGCAACAGCTTCTCGAACAGTTTAGACAGTACCGGCAGGAGGCTGATGGGTCTATATCAGAGGTTCTCAAACTTTTTTGTGTCGTAGACTCCTTGCCATGTTTTTCGGTTTTGGGTAGATCCTCTACTTACCTGATATTGATTTTTTGTAAATTTATATTGGGACATCTTTATAATTATTAAGATCTTTGCTCTGAGTAACAAGATGATACTGGTATATCATTATGTGCAGGTTTTTACAAGTTCAAAATCTATTGCGACCACAAAGCGAATGCCTACATCCTACAACTTACACAATTTTATAAACATATATAATAATTATATGCAGGTTTTTACAAGTTCAACATGCAATACATGACTTACAACTTACACAATTTTATAAACATACATAATATTTTTTTTTACATCAAATGTATTGCGACCACAAAGCGAATGCCTACATCCTACAACTTACACAATTTTATAAACATATATAATATTTTTTTTTACTTCATAAATACTTTTACTATTGAAATCCTGACTGTATCGAAATCCCGACAGTGTCTTTTATTTTATAAACATATATAATATTTTTTTTTACTTCATAAATACTTTTACTATTGAAATCCCGACGTTCGAAATCCCGACTGTATCGAAATCCCGACAGTGTCTTTTATTATTATAATTTATACAATAACATTTTTAAATTATTCCGAAACGCAGTCACCATCTACTATTATTTAATATTAATAACAATAAATTAATTTTAATTTAGAATATTTCTTAATTTTAAGTTTTATTAAGTCAATGAAAACAAATACAATAATAACAATTAATAATCTAATTGTATTTGAGATGTNATTGTGGAGAAAACAACGAAAACAAATACAATAATAATATATTGTTATTAATAGTTAATAAAACAATTAATAATCTAATTACATTTCAGATTATTTCAAATTGCCAAATTTTATTATGAATAATTCAATGAAATCAAATACAATATATAACAACAATTAATAATCTCAACTCCTCCCGTTATATTCTAGAAATAAAAAACTCGAGCGATGAATTTTTAAAATTATCTTTATTATAATACAAAAATGAATAAAATAATTATAATGAAACACTATGAGCTATTCCTCGAAGATAACTCATTAATATTCTGTTTTGGCGGTCATATATAATAAAAGACACTGTCGGGATTATGGTTGTCGGGATTTCGATACAGTCGAGCTATTCCGCGAAGATAACTCATTAATGTTCTGTTTTGGCCGTCATATATAATAAAAGACACTGTCGCGATTTCGATATAGTCGGGATTATGGTTGTCGGGATTTCGAACGTCGGGATTTCGAATGTCGGGATTTTGATTGTTGGGATTTTGATTGTCGGGATTTCGATTGCCACCGGTTGAGATCCACTATCGTGGACCCCCATTTTCATTTCATGGACCCCCAGATTTTTTTTTTCGCTGACGTAGATCCCTTACAGATTGTCATAGACCCCTGGGGGTCGATATAGACCACTTTGGGAATCACTGGTCTATACGAAGACGCCGCGTCCGTTTGTTTTCCAGGTTTGGCGATGAGTATGATTTGAGCTACCTGTGATGGAAATATACCGAGTCATGGAGATGACATTGAATTAAATAATTTGTATGATCGTTATCAAGATCGTTATCATTTGAGAATAATTTCGAAAAAAATATGTTCTGTATATGAGAATGAAACCTTTAAAGAAAGGCAGTGTCAACATTGGTTTGCCAAATTTCGTTCTGGTGATTTTTTCGCTGAAAAATGCACAACAGCCAGATCGTTGATGCATGCATTCAATAAAATTAAAACAGTTTGACGAAAATCTTCAATTTTCCTTCTTATTTGAAATACGCCATCACTTAATAGTCAATACAATATTATTCGAATCCATTTACAAAGTTTCATCGCGTCTGTTTTATCTTGCATGGAAAATCTGAGTTCTTTGCATAGATAAATTTAGTTGGTTTAGAATGGAGAAGATGTCTGCAAAGTAAAGTTTTTTAAACCAATTTTTTTCGTCGAAATTAATGGTCAAATTTGATTTTCTTTCATTGAGAAAAGTATTATACAAACAGTGTTTTATCAGATTGTAAGTAATTATAATATTTCTTAAAAACTCATTATTTTGTGGTAATAAGATTAAATATGGTGTTTCAAACTGGAATGGCTGTTTTTGTGCGGATGTACTTGGGGTGCTTTTCTTTGACAAATTAAATATTTATTTTGGCAACATTGTTCTTTTATTATTTTTTATTTATTATTGAACATCAATACTTCCCTTAGTTTACTATAACAAAATAGAAATACATTCTAAAATAAAATACTTCACACAATATTTTATACATAAATAATGTTTTTTTTTCATCATTCATACAGTGAAGTCTCTTTTTCTGTGGTTTATTTTTAAGGAACTTTGTTATTCGATTCGTCCGGTGTCATATAACGCGGACTGTACGAAGTATTGCCGTATATTCAATAAATTAGAGAAGGTTGATATAATATAATATAGTTTATGTAATTTAAATTTAAAACACTCTTCCGAAAATACCGAAAGTGATGAACGGTTCTCCTGGTGTCTTCAGGGAAATAACTTTGCTTCTTCCGTTTTCCTTCCAATCGACATTTCTACTGCCCAGCGGTTTCAAATTCGAATAAATCGCGTTCGGAAACTGTTTCGAGTTTTCGTTCTCCTTGACCTTCATCTCAATCTCGATTCTATCGAATTTGATCGGGTACGTGTCTTCGTTTTTCAAAATCCTACAATGAAAACATTTGTTAATATAATAGATAAATAGTTTTGAGATCAACTCACCTATGACCGCAATTCTTTAAACTTTCATCGGTGCACGTTAAGATCGAGCAAGCCTGAACGTTTCCAGTCGCTACGCCGCTGAAACTTCTCTCTCCTGAATATGCAACCAGTTTATAGTGATATGACTTTTTGCTGACCTCTACTTCGGTATTCCTCGCTTCCACTTTAAAATTACATTCGAAATCCTCGCTGATTTTGAATCTGTATTCGCGCTGCTGGACATCCAAATTGTACGTGTTATAATCTAAAATACGAGAATCTCAATGATTTCATTGCTTTTATATTTATCAAACGCACATTCTAATTTGTCGTAAATAAGTAATAAACCGTCCACATCTTCTACTTCTTTGCTCGTTTCAACAATTTCATTATCTTCGGAGTACTTCCAAACTTTCTCCACGTCCGCAATCAGCACTTTGGTACCTTCTTTGTCGCTCATATAGGTAGTCAAAGGACCCTTCCTTCCTGAAATATGCAATCAAATTTGAAATATTTCAATGTTGATAACATTTCTTAATGAACCTTGGTAAATCCCAGATCCGCCGCTACCCTTCTTCGGATTATTAGCACCGCTCGCCAACAGAACTACATCATTCTCGTACGACCACATGTATTGCGTTTGAACAGCTAAAATATTCCAAATCATTAGCAGTTATTTTTTTAATGAAATATTTATGTTTTTTAACTACCTGAGAGGAATGGTAATTCGGAAAACCACATCGTCGGATATAAAAAGTGCTTCACACCCTGATTAACCACTTCCAAAGCTGGTTCTTTGAACATAATATCAAAGCATATGAACATTCCGAAAGTTACACCAAAGTCTGTTGTAAATGTAGTTCTCATCGGTTTGGGAACCTCCACATTTTCTCCAAATAAATTCAATTTCCTGTAGCTAAAAAGAAATACAATTTATTTCATAAAAAAACATTTCTCATTTAAAGTGAAGCAATAATTAACAGAGTAAGCGTCAAATATATTACTTTTTGAACTTGCAATTATTTCAAAAAATCTTATTCCAAGTATGCAAAGCATTTACGATTTAAAATAATTTATGATTCTAATGGTGCGTCCACACTACGTCCACATCGCAAAACAAGTGTACTGAACAATAGACACGTAACTGCGTTAGTTGGATACGGCGTGTTTGCACCATACGAAATAGTTTCAAAATTATTTAGTGCATTTTTTTGTTATTTCGAAGAAACGCTAAGATTTAAGTGTTAGCTTTCGCAGTACTGATAAAATCACGCGATTTTTGAATTCCTCAATTTGGTATATAATACCAACAGAAGGTTTTCCGTTTTAACAGTTGACAAAATGATGAAAATTGTGATGGTTATTTTCGTGACGTGTGTAAATCAGGTATGGATAACTGTTAATAATTTATATGACATCCATTTAATATCATAAATAAGAAATATATTCGGAAATGCTAGATATTAATATGGTGATTTAAATTTGTTTAAGTTGTCAAATTTGTTAAATCACTAAATTAAGTAGTGGTTGGTATTACTTATAAATATTTATTACATAACAATTGCAAATTGGATCGATAAGCACCAATAGGTGGCAGAAATAGGGCTGTAATAAAAACATTATATGAATCCCACTTTGTGTGTTTAGGTACTTTCGCATCACTGCGGATCCATGGAAACCTGCATGAAAAATGTCTCGAGCTTGGAGACGCAAGCTTCCAATTTCATAAATAATTACTTGGATAAACATGATGCCAACTTGACGAGACGTCACGCTGACATCCAGGCCAAATTTAAAGAGTTCAATGATCAGGTCGACGGAGGACTGAATGAGTGCAAGTCATTTGCAAACAGCTTTCATGAGAAACTTTCGAAGTCCTGCGGAATCCTGGAATTAACCAACGATACAGCCGTCCACGATGCTAAAGAATACATCGATAAACAGCCTATTGATTTTCTGTACAGTAGCAGCTTCACGGACGAGGATAAGAAAGAGATGTGTCCGCATTTAGTCAAATACTACAACTTCGTGTGCGATCGCGTGGTTTACGATGTCGAAACATACTTGAGCTGCGACATCAACGATAAAGTCAACTCTGTATTCGAAGCACCTTGGAAGCACTGCATAAGCACTTTCAAGCAGTGAATGCCGTTGAAATAAAAAAATATATCTTTAAATTAACACTTCTTTACTTCTATTTTCTTAATCATTTAAGTTCTATTTCACAAACAGTTTTCACCTGTTACGAAATTTTAGTCATCTTACAAAACACTTATTGTAAATAGTCACATTCATTTAGTATAGATGTTACAAGTACTTGCCCAAATTGTCAAATATATCTACTACAGATCGTGTTCATTCTCAGTTTACTAATTCACTCATCATTTAAGATCATTATCGTCTTATGAAAATTTTGTCATCAATAAAAAAAATCTAGGTACATAAGTGAAAATGAAACAAATAATTATCGTAAATAATACTGTTAAATTGGTAGACATGCTACAAGTATTTGTACAAGTTGCTAAATACATATACAGTGGAACCTCGCTTAACGAGTTTAATCCTTTCCAAAATTTCCGGATTTTTACTTATATAGTACAATGAAACATATTCAAAAATACACACAATATGTGTACACATGTTTTAAAAATAATGAAGCAGGAGCGCAATCCGGGACTTCTCTTCTCATCGTCACTCGTTATGCAAAACGTCGATCTTTAAGCGAGTCAATTTGTTCGTTAAGCGAAATGCTCGTTATGTAATCTTCTCTCTCAGGCATTGTAAACGTCCCATACCAACTGATTTATCGTAAAAAAAAAGATTACAATTTTGCCGTATCCCGTGAACCCCCCTGACCAAGATAAGAAATTTAAAATAAAATTTTACTATAAGCGAAAGATAAAATTTTAAGTTTCACATGATTATACCTATTTTTATATTAACATTTTATCCTTAAATAAATGTTAATTACTAATGATAATTAACTAATGATAATATTATAATTTTTTCCTGCTGTCACTTTTAGCTTTCTTTAGATGTCAATTGCACGTAATTTTATTTGCAGCTGTTAGTTTCAAATTTAACATGAGTGCAAAAATGAACATTTTCTACATATTTTACATAATTTTTATTTCCATAACGGCAAGAAAACTGCTGATATGTGAAGTTTATGATATAGATTGTTTAACAGAATTAAAAAAATCTGTTCTAGAGAAGATAACTAACATTCTGATCGACTTACTGAAGTTAATGACCACATTAATGACTACATCAAAGTCTTAATTGAAACGAATTGACATAAAACTGTGCAATTTTATCACACACTACAACTGAAAATCACAAATGTGTTGGACTCATTAAGAATCTCGAGATTAGCATGAATTGAAAAAGAAACGAATCAATATTTGCAATATCCATTTCAAACGCAATGAAATCGTCACTATTTTTAAACGAAGAAACATTGATAATATAAAATAGACCATTTACAATAACGTCATTCAAAAACGATGAATTACACCAAAAAAAAGCGAAATTACTTTCTTTCCGAACCAATATAATAATACATGATTTATTGATTAAATAATTATAAAAACCTATAATATAATTATACTGTTAAGATAAAATTCCATTGGTTCATTTTTCATCTTACTGATTTCAATGTCCCATTGAGTTTGTGTTTTTGCAAAAACCGTTTTGCGAGATTTTTGAACTATGTTACAAAGTTCAAAAATAAATAATAATCATGTTGGAACGCAATAATAGATTATATACCGTACATTTAATAATGTTTCCAATGTTCTTTTTTCAACAAACATAAAATATACGTATAAAAATAAATGTACGATTTACGAAATTTAGTGTTGAAACACTTAAAGAAAAAACTACAGAGAATTGAATGAACTATTTTTTTTGTATCTCGATTGAAGTTGGGATTTGTTCTAATTGGACAAAGAATTAAAAATAAAGACAACTCAAAACTTTATAGAAAATGTCTTAAAATAAAGTTTTTGTTGTTGCTATTAAATTAGTTTTCTTACCTTGCAACAATTTTGCCTGTTCGATCGAAAACCACGTTTGTGTTATACATCCACCATCCATGCGGACACTTTTCTCCCTCGCACTTAACCTTTTCTAATAAGTTTACCGAGAGATAAGTCTTGTGATTTTTAGCTGCACACGATAAATTAACAAAATATTTCTGATGGTTTTTCTCATTGGCGCAGGGTACATCTTCGACTTCAACTATAGCAGCCTCCTCGATTAATTTTGATTGCGATACTACCACACCGGTTAGCAACGTAGATTCCGGATAAACAATAATGTCCAGTTTCTAATATATTAAAAAAAATGAACATACTGAATTGAATGGATGAAACGCAGCTCACCTCGCCAATTTTGGATAAAATTTCAATGTATTCATTGGTTCGTCCTTCGACAACCTCATTTAAATTTCCATCAATTTTCTTCGGAAAGTATTCGACCACAGCCGCCTTGTATGTGTTAGAATCTTCGCATAACACTTGTGCCAAAGCACCAATTACCAAAATAGCCGTTAAAATTCGCATGTTCTGATTTGTTTGCAAAAAAAAAACAAAAACGCGATACATTCGTGTTGTTTCTACTTTTAAATTTATATAGAATTTCTTATCAATCCATTGGAAAAATCACGTTATTTGCACTTATCTCTTTTGGATATTGTAATTTTGATTATCTCAATTGCACTGTGTCACGCACAGTATCTGTTTTTTGAAGTTCACGTCTAACATAATTGTGTGCTTATTACCGCACGATTTTAAGTAGTAAACTTTGTAATCTAAGATTACGAGGAGACCTCACTGATGTAGTTTACAATGTATTAAATGAGATCATGCAAAATTTATATATAAATGTAATCTATTAGAAAGGACATAAGTAGACCTCCATAATAATTATCTTTATATAAAACACTATTTAAACTTTTGTATTTTGTAAATTTGGATGAATTATATAGTAAATATTTTTATTATTAAAAATTGTATTAGATTATTTTGTAAGCTTTAAATTAGCTTAAATAATGTAATCAATACTTTAACTTGTTATATAAATTAAGCTTAAACTCCATCTCTCTGGTAATACAAGTTTTTGTTGTTAGAATTTGTAAGTATATCCAACTGATCACAACGCAACTTCCATGATTTAGCCATTAAAAATAATTAAGTTCAAGAAATTAGATGGTTTAATGAATAGATCGCAAAAAAATGATGTTTGAAATTTATTGATGTTGCAAAGGATGTGTTTTTCAGTGGAAGATTAAAAACTGCCTCCCAACAAATGTTAACAATCAACGTATTTCCATTCTGGACATAGCAATAAATATCATATGTTAAAACTGTTACAATTCTGAATCGATCTTCATTGTTTTCGGCTCGAAAACCCGCCCGTAGATGCCGAAAGTCATGAAGAACCTGCGCGGTTTCTTCAGCGAAATAACTCTGCTACCTTCGGATTTCTTCCAGTCGAAGTTCTCGTTATACAGAGGTTTTAGGTCACCCAGTACAGCGTTCGGGTATTGCTTAGAGTTCTTGTTCTCCTTCATCTCGACTTTGATATCTTCGAACAGAATCGGATACGTGTCTTGGTTGGATGGAATCCTGAATAGAAGAAAGAATAAGTTTTTGAATTTTACATCTACAATAAAATATTGTTACCTATGACCGCATGTCGATAAACTGTTGTCCAGGCAGGTTACCATGGCACAAACCGTCTTTATGTATCTGAAAACTGCGACATCCCGAATATCCAACCAATTTGTAAACGTACGACTGTTTGTCGCTCAGTTTTCCGGTGTTTCTAGCAACGACGTGGAAATTACATTGTCCTGCTGACCCACGTCCAAATTGAAGCTGTTGTATTCTGGAAGAACGTTATTTTTAATCATGGTTTTGCAACAACTTAATTAGCTATTACTAGTAAGGTCGTCGTAGAACAATTTTAAATTATCCACGTCTTCCCCTTCGTTAACATCTGCATTTCGATTTTCGACGGACAAAGAACTGTCCCAAACCTTCTCTACGTTCGCCACCAAAACTTTGGTACCGTTGATGTATATCTTCAACGGACCCTATCTCCCTGCAAAATGTCAATAATATAAACTTTAACTAAGTTTAGTGTTGATCAATTAAACCTTGATATATTCCTGATCCGCTGCTTCCGCTTCTTGGATTATTAGCGCCACTTGCGCCACATATGTTGAGTTTGCACCGCTGAAACGTGTACAATTTTAATTGAGTTTTGATTATTGCAAAGATGATTTTTTTTAAATACCGGTGAGGAATGTTAATTCGGAGAACCACATGAGCGGAAACCACAAACGTCGTGTGCATTGGTTCTTCCGGAACATTCACGTGCTTCCCAAATAAGTTATACTTTCTGTAGCTGCAATGTTAAGACATTAGAAATTTGATTGTTAAATACTCAAAATAACGATTTACCTCGCCACAACGATTCCATCCCTATCGAAAACTACGTTCGTGTTGTAAACGTTCCATTTATCATCGCTGCATAAATTAAATCCACCGAAAGGTAAGCCCTATACTTCTTTGCCGCACACGATAAATTCACGAAATATTCATTATATGCATTTGATTCCGAAGAAGGTGCGATCAGATCTTCCCTGGTATACATTTTTGATCTGAACTGTAGCGTGGATTCGGGGTAGACGATGATATCCAAATCCTAAAACGAATTATCTCATTGGAGACTCATTTAGAGTATCGAAAAATAAACTCACCTGTTCCATGTTCGAGAGGATTTCGATGTAGGTGTCGACGCGTTTTGTGATCGTCTCTTTCAAATCGAAAACTTTGCTGAATCTCTCCGGAAAATATTCAACGACGGCCGCAGAATACATGTTCGACACTTTACTCGAAGCCATTTGCAAGATGCAAATGCAAATATTAGCAGCCTCATCATTTGTAAAATAATAATATTTAGATCGGTGGGACGATGTCGTTTGCCTACAAATACAATTATATCACATTTTAAATTATATATAGATACAGTCAATGTGCAAAAACAAAACATGAAATTTATGTACTTATCATTTTATATATAATATAATTTCGGAATTTTTCATTATGCATTGTAATTGCACAATGACCACAAATACCACTTAGGAAGATCCCATAACTAATCATTATGAAACGACTATTCTTAATCAATATTGTTAATATATACATCTACCCTTACTTCTTGGTATTAGGTACTATCTTCCCTTACTAAATATTGTACTCCCACTATGCTAATTGACTACTATATAACAGGATGTTTATGTAATGCAAAGGGAGTCTTAAAGAGTCGGTGTTAAAGTCATAGTCCTAGCTAGTCGCTAGTCCAAGATAGTTTTAGTCTTAGTGGAGAGTCCTCTCGAGTCCTAGTTAGACTCATAAAAACCCTAGTAACAAATCTAGAAACTGGAATCTAGACATAGACATTATTAATAATCTTATAGAGAATAATAAAGTGTTTATTATCATAAAAACTCCAACTTCACCTCTAGCATTCCTTAAAAACTCCACTAGGACTCCACAACGACATAACTACTAGATAGAACAGAAGCTTCGATATAACGAAGTACTCAATTTCAATATTTAACTAAAAAAAATCTAATTCAAGGCCAATTTCAAGAATGTAACGTCCAAGAAATTTGAAATGAAGGTATCCTCGTAGCTCCATAGGTTTCAAAAATGTCAACAAAGAAGAGAAGTATGTAAGATGATGATTTTCTCAGGAAAATTTAGAAAACTTGGTAACAAAAAACAAAGAAAATAAAGGTGAAATTAAAGACAAAATGTTAACAATGAAAGAATTAGAAAAAAAGATTAAATAACATTGAAACTGTTTTACATTTTTTATCTCTGAATCGCTTAACGAATTAATTTTTGTAAAGATATATCCACTCGTTAATTTTATTGATTTTGCTTGATTTGCATAAGCAAATTGGCATAATCAATAACATTTTTATTGTTTTTTTGAAAACTTAATTAAATGTTATAAATTATGATGAAGATGATCTTAGAAAAAAATATAATTTTAATCGTAAAATAATGTCTAAGACAACGTTTTTCGACAAATAAAAATTACACTTTGAACATCAGTTAGATACAAAAATTGATGAACCCATAGTAATTTTACTTATCGTTAACTGTAATTGCCGAATTAATAGATATGTAAATTGAGAAACGTCGCATATTTTATTTATTCTATTTGATTTCCGTTAAGCAAATTGGCTTAATTCAATTGTTTTTACAAGCATGGTTTATAGGTGATAAATAATGATGAAAATGTTTAAATTGAACATCAGTTAAATCTAAACATTTAGTTTTTTCGTTATAAAGTTACAAACGTTAACTTTAATCACCGATCAATAAATATTCACATTCAATTAACTCGAACAGTTATTTGCCATAATCATTTGAATTCAATTTTAAATAAATTATGATAAAAAAATAGTCTTCAAAAATGTACCAATCAAAAAAGCTGAGAATAGTCACCGTTTTACCGTGGAAATGATGATATTAATTATTTCACCAACTCCAACCTAGTCATGAAAGAGATAAGCAAATACAGCATAAAATTCTCTTGATATGGAGAATAATAATACCGAAGACCATCACAGAAGACTGAAGTGCTACAAACCCCATGATATGCCAAATCGTTTTATAGTATGAACAGTTCGTGAGTGTATGCGTCTTGAATGTGCTTAAGTTAAGGTTGATTACTGGACCAATCTTTTGACTCCTTTTATTTGTTGTTGATGTCACGAATTCAGCTCATTATTTCTTAAAATAGATTGCTGAAAAATGTTTATCTCTAAAAATATTACAGTTTTCTAAATTATTTCGAAACGTAATATCAACGGAACAAAATATTTTTTTTGTAGATTTGTATCTACTTAAATATTAATTCATGAACCAATCAATCTACAAAATACAGCAATAGCAAAACAGCAAAATACAGCATAGACGATTCGAAACCGGACTAATCGTAATAAAAATGAACAGCACAAATAGAGACTTTATTGTGTAAAAGGAAAAAAAAAACAATCTTTTATGTATAAAAAAAATAATTTTGTTTTGCTCAATTAAAATTTAGTTTATTTTTGTATACTTTCAAACTGGACTATGGAGAATTCGTAATACGATATATTGATGTAATCTGTAATTTGTGTGTTGTGTAGACAATAATTGGGTTACAACTAAGTGATTGCAACGATCTGGCCGTTGCGCATTTTTCAGTGAGAAATCACTAGAACGAAATTAGGCAAACCAATTTTGACACTGTTCTTCCATTTTTAAATTCTGATAAAAACAAAAATTAAATAACTAATCGATACAATTTTTTACTAAATTAAAGGAGGAAATCCAAACAACAAGAAAACAATATGTTAGGTGCTTTGAACATGTTTACAAAACAAAAGTATGTGCTAAAACCAATCACTTAGTTGCCAAGCCAGCATAAGAAAGTATTAGAAATAAATGAATAAAGTACGATATAAGTACATTCATAGGTAAAATCATGAGTGCGACTTTGAAATAAAACATAAATCTGCACCTCAGGACCCCTCAAGTTAACGATCCGACTCTGCATCAATTCAACGAATTTTCATTTTTTCGGATAAGAGATTCAAATTTGACGTAACTTTGCCGTAATTGTTTACTTGAGCGCTTACTAGATTTGTCGTGTAGATGTCGTTTCAAATACGTTATACCTGGGGACTGGCTGTGGCTATACAACAGATTTCTCATATGACTTGGTCCCCCTGCGTTATACGAGTGTATCGAAAACCCGGCTGTATAAAAATCCCGACCAGGGGGACCAAGTCATATTAAAAATGACATAACGCGGCGCCACAATTAATTTGAAATTTCAAAGAAGTGGTCCCCCTGTGTATGTCAATTTGCGTCTCTGTGTGTAATATTTTTACAGTTGGCAATGATCATCTGACCTCTTTTGAGCAGGGATTTGAAAAAAATAACAAGCGGCTTTGGTATCCCTGCTGTGAACCCCCCTGGGTGACAGATGCAAACAGATGTCAGAACGAACGAAACGAAACGAAACCATAACAAATCAGAAGAAAGACTGATCCAAAGTTTGAGAGCGTTTAATTAATAATAAATTTGTTCTTATGACGACTGGAATAAAGAAACTGACCAAAGCTAACATGACCGAGGAGCTCTCGGGCGTCACAGTTGTCATAATCATAGGTTTAGGTGTTTTAACATTTATTCTATTATTCATCTTTGCTAAGAGACAGATTATGAGATTTGCACTAAGATCTAGAAGAGGTCCTCATGTTCCTATTGGACATAGCGCGAAAAAAGTATGTACAGCTTTTATCACCTTTGCATCAGATTAATCAACAAATATTACTGTAGATGCTCAAAAAGGAGATTGATAGACGTATAGATTTGATACCAAGAATTTCCACAGAACCCCATCTATTGCTCTCTGATCCTAGATACATAACTCAACAAATTCCTGTACATTACTATAGGCTTAAAGCAGTGGATAATGTCAAAATGTTAGGTATGTATCTGAACTCAAAGAATGATTAGTTAAAAACATTTTCTTTTCTTTTTTCACAGAAAATGAAATTAAGCAGCAAGATCATGCACTATTTAGACATCCGAGCGAGAATTTAAGGGCTTACCTGCTCACAACATTAGCTGCACCATTAAATGGTAGTGGTCAACGGCTCATTCATCAGTTCTGTGATTTGTATGAACATGCAAGACATGATCCTAGTTACTTTGGTGAAGAAGAGTTCAATGCGTATTCACGATTATTACTGAAACTCATTGATGCGTAAGATTTGAATAATTAATAGCAATTCAATTAATTGCTTAAAGATTTTAGGGCGAAACTATTGAAATCTTCAAGCAACAGCAGAAAATCCTCTCCAAATCGGACACCGCAAAGACTGAGGAATCTGGAAAAGAACAGGAATCTTCTGGATCCTTCGAGATTACGTCCACTTTCTGGTTCGATTACAAAAGAAGAAATATTAACATCCTCCGACCGAGGATTGAGACCGACGACGTTGATAGTTCCTGTTTTAGACAATGAAACTTCTGTTTGAAAAGAAGCAACCAATTTAGACAACATACGTGATTAAAATACATTTTTACAAGTACACACGTTCGTGGTTACTCCAAAGCAATAATTGTAACTGTGCATTTAAATAAACCCAAAATAAAAAAATTAGGTATTTTAATATTTATTTTTACAGTACTCCTTGTTTATTTAAAATAATATCCTTTCACTTTTTACTTCGTACTTTTTGAATAGGTTTATTAAAATTATCTTTTAAAATAACGTTCAGTTTTAGTTTTTCGTGAATTTCCCCATAAGATAATTACATCATCGACCACTCGTATGAAAGCTGAATATCTCACATACAACTTAGTGCTGTCATTGAGTCGCCTGCTATAAGCTGTTGAAATTGAAAAAAATTAGAAACGAAGTTTTTTTCAGTCTCTTTTGTTACTTAACGTTTTATACGTAACAGACAAACGACGGTTTCTCGTTATTTTTCAGTTTTTTTTCGGATTTTCGTGAATTTCTCGACAACTCCATAAGATAATAACATCAACCCCTTAAGGTAATTACATCATCGACCACTCGTATGAAAGCTGAATGTCTCAACTTTCACAACCCCTTAAGATAATTACATCGTTGATCACTCCTTTAATATCCTTTCACTTGAATAGGTTCCATTAAAATTATCTTTTAAAATAACGTTCAAATTTATTTGTTATGGAAACAATGGTCATGGTAACCAATGACGAAGATATAGTAATACCCCGATTTACGACTACTATTTGTACTTACGTTATATTAATACTTTTTAAGTTTGCGTGAAGCTTCCTCATTTAATCAAACCTTGATTACAACAATTGAGAACTTTGCTAAAGCAATGCAAAAGGTGATTGCTCTTGAATCATAGATAAACAAATGAAATATACTTTCCTTATCGATACGAGTCTACAAAACCGTGATTGAAAACAATTCGAGATTAGACCAAAAAGATAATAAATTTATTTATGTTAAATATTTACAATAAAAAAGAAAGAATAATTAAAAAAAAATAATAAGCCTAATGATTGCATTTTCCACAGACAAATTTAACTGATTTTTTTTGTTTCGTTTGCTTGATATATATATATATAAAAAAGTATGTAAGGGAAAACAAACGAACTGAAAATTATATTCTATCAAAAAGTAAAACAAAAACAAAAAATAAATTATATGCATTTATATAATATTTATATATGTATGTATATATATATAAAATAAAAGGAGTGTTACTTTGTACTGACGTATATATCCAATATTTAATTAATTAATTAATAATAATAATATAAAAAAAAAACAATAATAAAATATAGGGGGAAAAATGCTTTAAGAGAATGAAGAAGAAAACGTTTCGTCACTAGTTATTTTTTTTCTCTCAATTTTACGCCGATCTCGAAATATTTACAAAGCTATCTTTATATATATAATAATAATAATAATAATTAAAAAAACAAACAACACTCTTATTAATAATTTCATATTTACACAGAATACGCGCTTCAACTCTAAAATATATAGTTATAAAACTATAAAATTACAATGACGCAAATATGGTTCGTCTCATAAATATGTACACGGGGACTTTAAATATTTTCTTATTCACGTTTCTTTTACTTCTTCTGTACAGAAAAACGACACGTTAAAAAATTTTCTTCTTACATTCTATATAAGTTCAAGCATTAAAATTATATAAAAGAAAAAAAAAACGGAAAGGAAATTCAGCCGCTGCGATTCGCATTGGAAAGATGAAATCGAACGACTGCATTTCCAGCAAGAAATAACACAAAATAAAATTTAAAAAAAAACAAAAAATATGCACGGATTTTGGAGAAATTTGTGGATGAACGAACGGAAAAGTCGCATCGAAAATAAATAAATTTCAAAAGTAGCATGTAATAAAAACTAGCGTAACAGAAAATGCGTTAAGATACAAAAAAAAAGAAAAAAAAATGTAGAAAATAAAATAATACGTGGATTCGGTTCAGAAATGTTTGTAGTGAAATGGTTATTTCCCAAGAATAAATTGTCGTTTGTTTTGTATATTTTTTTTTCAGTTCACTGATTTATTTAGTTTCCTTCTTTTTTTAGTAAGTGGGTGGTTGTTGTTTGTTTTTCTCAAATGTATTAAACTAAGTCTTTTTCTTCTTCTCCGTCTTCGCTCGACGACGAACGACAACGAAAGAAAATTTGCGAGGAACAGCACTGGCGCAGGTGGCGGCGGCGAGACGAGTCGAAACGTTGCCGAAGATCCGAGACCTTCTTTTTTGTCGTGTACTTCTTATTTTTGTTTTGTTTTGCTGCACTTCTCAACCTCCCCTTCTCCTTCTTCGCACAATTATTACTCATATATATGTATAAAGGATTACTTCAAATTAGACAAGCCGATTGTTTTTATTTTGCCGTTGAATCACCATCTCTTCATTTTAATAATTATTATTTGTTTACGTGTCATTTAAACGAAAAAAAAATGTAAAGAGAAAGAATGTAATTTTAAAAGTCTTCACCGCATCCGATCCGTTTCCTCTCAAATTGATTAATTAATTAATTTAGCCCTCGATTAATGAATGCACTACCGTCTGCCAAGACACGCAGCATGATAAATAGAGAGTGAGAGAGAGAGAGAGAGACAAAGACAGACAAGACTGAGAGAGAGAAACGCAGCCGTAAATTATAAAAATTAAAAGTATGTATGTAAAGTATAAACAGAAGCGCGAATTTTTCCTAGCCTGGAGGAAAACTTGTCGAGCTGTTTGAATGGGCCAGACTGAGCATCGAACCGGACAGACTCCTATCGTCCTCGTGGTATTTCTCGCGAGTCTCCTCCGCGATTGCCAACGTACTGCAAATACAAACAAGAACAATTAACAATAGTTAACAAAAACAGTTTTAAAAAAAATAAATATTTTTCTGATACACGTCGTTACATTAAATATTTTTCATTTACTTTGAACATCCATTTTAGAGATTGATAGATTATTATTGATTTGATTAATATTAGTAGATCGAGTTTTCATACTTAGTTCATTAGAAATGATATTTCTCATTTTCTAATAGTATTATACAATTAAAAATATACGTAAATTGTGATGAAATGCAAGCAATACCACACAAATCCAAACTAAACAAGACAACAACGACAACCGACACCATCAGCGTCAAAATTACAAATATGTAACTTACTAATTAGAAGTTCTCGAATGAATTAGTAATATGCAGGTAATTCAATATTCATAAAATAGTACTCGGTACCTAAGATCTTGAATTACTCTTGGTGTTCTTTCTGACAACAAGAAAATCCTAACCAATTGCACAAAGGTTTACGACTCGTCCTGCCTTTGTTATGAACCGAAACATTGAAATCTGTCGGATTAGTTCGGCTGGTGTCGGTTAATGCAAACCAATTCACGCTGAAATATTTCTAAATGAAATCTAGATATTTACAAGTTAAAACGGATTTCAAGAAAAAAAAATAATCATTAACGATATAGTTGATGTGACATATGTAATTATTAGATTGTTATAAAATTATTTATTTTGCTTTGATTAAGAGTGCGTAACTGTGCACTTTGTTTTTAGTAGATTTCGTCATACAGGTCATATAATTTGGTGAGATAAAGACGCGCGATAATCAAGTAAATTCGTTACAAATGATTCGTAATGCAGAATGACTCATTAATTGCGATTAAATAGTAAGTTGTTTTTGTTTTTGCTGTTAAAATGTAAATTCAGTGCATATCATGTTTACCAAACGTTGTGATGAAAAATGTGAAATGTTTGATATAGAAATAGTATATAAATTATTACCTGAAACCCAGTCTAGCGGACTCGTTGTCGAACTCTTGCACCTGCTTTTCTTGTTTATCGTGGAGCATCTTGATGCGTTCCGAGCGTTCCACGAAAAACCTCTGGCTCTCGGAATTCATCTAAAAGAGTAGCATTGATTAGAATTGAATATTAATGCGCGATTGATTATGATACTACTTACCTTTTGTTCGAGTAATGCCTTTCTGACACTGACCCTATCCTCAAGTTCGTTCCGTTCACGTTCCCTTTGCGCCTGCGCCTGCATCCTGTTTTTGCTTTGGTACGCAATTAAAATCTCCAGCTCGTAGTTCAGCCGCTCCTTGAGCTGCTGCACTTCAGTCTCTTGGTTCTCGTCGAGTCGCACCGAGTGCTTCTGCACCATCTCGACGATGCTCTGCTCGTACTGCTCCCCGAGCAGCGCTAGCTTCCTGCGTTGCTCCTCCTTTAGTTTCTTAATCACATGCTTCTGTTGTTCCCTGCTCGTTGTCGCCAGGATTTGAGCCTTCAGTGCCTTGTACTGCTTCGTCTGCACCTTACACGTCTCTCTAAACTGCTTCCTCACCAACATCTCCTTTTGCTGCAAATGCCAAAATACCAATATGTTATTATACTGCAACTCAATGCAAAAAGGTTCTCCTCTTACCTTGAGCGATTTCGGTTGTTGTTTGATCTCCAAACTGTGCTTCTTATGAAGATCCCTCTCCGCTCTCTTCATATATACATCCTGATTGGTTATTTCAGTGTCATGTTGACTCTTCACTTGCTCCTCCCTCAAAGCGTGCACAGCCTTCTGTTGCTTGTACTCTAGCTCTTGCGTTTTCTCGTGGTGACGCAATAGCATCGAATGCGCTTGTTCCAATTGCTGTTGCCGTTTATTCAATTCCTAATAGACAATAATATTTTAATAACAAATGATCAAGTTTGACGAGCGGATACTTACTTCTCTAAGGAGCTCTAGTTCTAAATTATGGTAGTTAAGTAGCTTCTTTCTTCGGTACTTGCGCATCTCTAATTCTAGATATTCTTTTTGACCGCGAATGAGTCGCTGTTCTTCCTGCGCTTCTTGCAGTTTCATGTTTTCCTTTTGAGTTTGCAGTGTGGCATCTCGCATCCTTTTCGGCGTCGAATCATCCTGCGACAGTTCTCTTTTCCACTGCTCCTTCGTTGCCTTATACTGTTTCTTGCAATGCGCGTCGAACGCCTTCTTGTCCATATCTTGTCGCATAGTAATATCCTTGTGCAGCTTCCTCTCGCCTGTGGTGTTTTGCTTAAGCTTCTTGTCTAACTCTTGGTGGTGAGTAATCTGAAGCCTTTCCAGTTCTTTACTAAACGTTTGCAACAAAGCGACGTACTCCTTATCCAGTTGATTCTTATGATTCTCCATTTCCATCTTACATTTTTCTTCTAATTTAACTAACGCACTTTGATGCTCGCGCCGCATCCTCTTGTAGCCAGTCATTTGCTCATGCATCTCTTCCTGCATATGTTCTTTAGCTTGTTTTGTAACTATACTAGTTGTACGGATTGTGGCGAAGTTATTAGGCCCGTGATCAGCGACCACGGCTGCGGCCGCAGCATTATTGACCATTTTGTGACGCCTATTCGCACCATCATCACCACTTAAAAGGTGGTCATTGTTAATGTTATGCTGGTTAGGTGACGGGTAGGCAAACGTACCTGCTGGTATACTGTTAGTACTACTCGATTGACTACTAGCTGACACCCCAACACTATGCACACTATGTTCAGAGGTGACTGAATTGCTTTTCGAACTATCACCACCCGTAGGTTCGTCCTGCACATCGTCCACATCTCCCACAGTGCTTTCGGTTTCCTCGACCATAAGAATCTTCTTCATCTTCCGATAATTCAGATTATCCAAGTCTCTGACAGCCGCTTTAGTCCTTTGTATCAAGTCAACCAAAACATTGGGTGAGCGCGTACGTGCAATCAATTGGTGAGCAAGCAACTCGCCAGACGAGGGTCGACTAGATGGTAATTTTTGTAAGCACACCTCCACAAATTCCCTAAATGTCACAGACCAATCGCCGTTCTGCAAGCTGGGCGCCTCATTCTGGGCGATATGGTATAACGCAGACATTGCATTCAAATTAAAATAGGGTGGCTTCCGTTCCGCCAATTCGATGCACGTTATACCTAAAGACCAGACATCCACTTTTCCATCGTACTGTCCCTCGTCCATAGCTAGGATCACCTCCGGCGCCATCCAATAGGGCGTACCGACGAAAGAATTCGCCGGCCACTTCACAGACGCACTACCGAAATCGGCTAACTTCACTACGCCCATTTCCGTCAGCAAAATATTACCAGCTTTGACATCTCTGCAAATCAAAGGTAAGCACGTGAATCAAGTTATTCTTCATACATTATCATACACAAGTTAATAATGTAGCGTATGACACAATCCATACCTATGAATCCTGCCAAGACTGTGGAGGTAGTTGAGTCCTCTAAGAACACCATCGCAAATTGCAGCAATTTCGTCTTCATGCAATGGCCTTTTATGCACTTCTATAATATCTGAAGCAGAGCCCACACAATACTCCATAACCACCCAAACGGTGTGGTCCTTGTCGCCACGGTAACATCCTTTATATTCTATTGTATTTGGGTGCTTCAATTGCCTCAGAAATCTAATGTGGAAACAATTAATGATTTGTTCATTTACCTATGCAATCCAATGGTACATACTTGATCTCCTTCAGGATATCCTGCCACTTTTCCAAGCTCTGTTTGCCTGTGTAAGACATTTTCTTGATGGCCACAATCTCCTTGGTGAGCAGACACCGAGCATAGTACACAGCCCCAAAGGAGCCATGTCCAATCTCCCGCAAATCATCAAAAATCTTTTCTGGGTCATGCTTGAAGAAGAGCTCTGCTATTTCAGGGTCCTTAAGGCTACCTGGTCGTGGCGTGGGAGCCATAGTCTATCTACTCTATGCAATCATATCAGCTGTAAGAGAGAACATGAATCATTAACAAATGGAAGTTTAGACTAAATGCTTCTGCAATCTATTATATGCATGTAATGTGTGATTTATAGAATTAGTTTGTAAATTATAACTTTTGGTAATTGATAAAAAGAAAATAGATACAAACAAACACACCCTCTTTTGACAGATGCAGCAGTGAAGAGGGAGATATCTTTGTGGGTGATATGTCTGGGGAAGGTTTAAGCTTCGTCGCGATTGGGGGGTTTTCGACTTTTTTTGGGAGCATGTGAGAAGTTAGTACTGAGGAAACTTACAATGTGTGCCTCGCCCGGTTGGTTTAGCCGTTTTGTGGTTGGTTTGTGTCTGAGGGTTGTGTGTGCGGGTTGCGAACCAAACCAAATGTATGCGGGTTTCTGATGTGATCGAGTGAGTGTGTGTGTGTGTATTTGAGCGTGCGTATGGATGTAAGTATGTATCTATATGGATGGGTGTGAGTGTGTGCGTGCGGATACCATCCAAAATGGCGTTTTGAAGCGGCGAGAGGACGATGATAAATTTTACCATGGGATGAGAGATGCACGGCTCCGGAGCCTCCTTCGCCTGGTGCAGCTCGACTCAACGGCGAAACGGAAGGAGTGATCCCATTTGGGACGAAAGCTCCGACGTCGGTGAACTCCTTCCTGTTTTTTTTTGCGACAACAATAAATATCGCGAAAAAAACTTGTACACATACACAAACGATCGGTCACAGAAACGCGATCACCGCTCTGGCGGCCGGCGGCTTCACTGGCGCAACGCCCGCCCTCCTCTCGCAAGGCCCTTCCGCGCCCTTCGCCCCGACTCGGTGGGGGCCACACACACAAAAAAATTGAAACAAAACACTCAATCCTACACGAAAACACAGGCCCTCTGCAATCGCAAACCTTCTCTCTCTGCGCTGCTGGATCTGACACTTTTCTACTTTGCGGACGCAGAGGTACCAACACACCACCCACACCCCAAAACCGTACCAACATTTCAAAACATACATATTATACATTGCACATTCAATCAATTCAATATCTGATACAATAAAATGTGTGTTAGTTTATATTCTATATTGGAAATTCTTTTGTTAAACAGCGTATGACGATATTGCCACTTACATGACAACCTATCCTCAAATACAAACTAAACCAGTAAAACTATAATATTAACAGTTAAGATAAATACTTCCTAACAACTAGATAAACTATCAAAATAAAGGTGTTGTATACTAAAGAAATACAAGTATATTCAATATTTTGAAGCTATAAACTTGCATATATTAGTACTATCAAGATACAAGTATATTAGTATTATATATTAGTATTAGTTCGTGAAAGATGAATTAATTCAAATATTTCATATTTTAAATATACTAACTTTAATGTAATTTACAAGAATTTTGTTAAAATAGATCGAAAATACTGAACTAGAATGTAGATATGTAAAATCAGTGGCAATCGCAAGCCCGACAACCGAAATACCGACAAACATAATCCCGTCTATTTCAAAATCGCGAGCATATCAAAATCGATTGTATCAGAATCTCGACAATCATAATCCCGTCAAACCTAATTCCGACTATATCAAAATCCCGACTGTATCGAAATCCCGACGTTCTGAACATCTGAATCCCGACTATATCAAAATCTCGACAACCATAATCCCGACTGTATCAGAATCTCGACAACCATAATCCCGACTGCATCGAAATCCCGACGTTCAAAATCCCAACTATATCAAAATCTCGACAACCATAATCCCGACTGTATCAAAATCCCGACTATGTATCGAAAATGTCTACAATAACATTTTAAAATTATTCCTGAGCGTAGTGATTTTTAAATTGTTATTAATAATAAATAATAACAATTAATCTAATTGTATATGAGATTATTTCATAATGTTAAGGTTTATTATGAATAATTCAACGAAATTAGATAAATTAATAATAATTTCTTATTATTAATAATAAAAATGTAGCATGTTATTGTAGAAATTTTCGATATAGTAGGGATTTCAATAGACGGTCTTTCAGTTGTCTGGCTAGCCATATAGATCCATGTAAAATAAATGAATCTTAAACATATAGAAAAAATATGCAAAGATCATTGCTGATACTTTTTGGTCGAATTTGTGTTGACATTAGAATATAAAGATAGGTAGATGATACTAATTATAACAATTCACTTTGTCTTGAAAAAGTAATTTGTTAGGTGAAAATTCTTTTTGAATAATAATAATAATCGCAATCCCGACAACCGACAGACCGTCTATTGAAAGCCCGACGTTCGAAATCCCGACTACCATAATTCCGACAATGGAAATCCCGACTGTTTTTTATTATTATAATTTCTACAATAACATTTTGAAATTATTCTACTATATTTTAATAGGTACGACGGATACTGAAGCAAATATTTTTAAGAACTAGGTCGATGGCTCTTTTGCCCGATTATGAATTGTTGTTATTTATTCTTAATAACAATAAATAATATTAATTATTATTGTTTTTTCTTTTCGTTGATTTATTCATTATAAAACTTAAGAATAAAAAATATTCTATAATAAAATTAGTTTATGTTCTTAACAATAAATAACAACAATTAATAATCTTATTATATTTTAGATTGTCGGGATTTCGATATAGTCGGGATTTCGAACGTCGGGATTTCGGTTGTCGGGCTTGCGATTGCCACCGGTATAAGTTACATTGGCCAAGACACGAAGTAAACATTCGTTCAAATCGAAAAATAACTATTATTGAACATTGGAAATTCTCAGTCATAAATTCGATTCGAATCAAATTTATATTCACATTTTTTCATAATAATACAGTGCAACCTCACTTAAGGAGTAAAACAAATTGTAAACTTCGCATAACGAAGAGTAGAGAAAAAGATAATAATAAACTGATTACAGTGAAACCTCGCTTAACGAGCAAAATGAATTGTAAGAAAAATGACTCGTTTAACGAGCGACGTTTCGCATAACGAGTGACGATGAGAAGAGAAGTCCCGGATTGCGCGTCTGTTACATAATATTATATGTATTTTTGAATATATTTCACTATACGAGTAAAAATCCGGAAATTTTGGAACGGATTAAACTCGTTAAGCGAGGTTTCACTGTATTTCGATTTTTGTTTTCTGCAAATCGAATTTGCAATCACTTAAGAATCTACATATTATTTTCTTCTTCTGCGATAGATGAAGATGATTCCTTAACAATTTATGTATAATTTTCTTTAAATAAACGCTATAAATAATTGGTTTTTCATCATTATCATATTTTGAAAATTGTTTCGCGTTACGAATAAGATTCCGAAATGAATTTATGATCGCTAACCGATTTTTCATTTCTACTTGGGAAAGTGATCACTGAAGACTGAAATTGAAAAACATTACTAATCTTTGTTGCCTTTGTAAATTTAATTTTGTATGTATAATAGGTGTTTGAATTTAGTATTAAGAAAACAAAGTTTAGTCTACGTCTACCTTTTCTTTATTTGGAATATATGTTTTATATTGCAATTTAAAAAATTACAATAAAAAAATGTAACATTGAAACCAATATATGTCGTTTCAAAAAAAAACTTATTTGGTCATTACATTGTATATGAAATAAATAGTTCCACAATAATTTATGAGTATAAATAACTAAAAATGAACAAATAACATTTGGTAACACAGTTTTCAACAAATTCCGTACAGTCTCCTAAACTACATTTCGAAACAATAACAAATCACAAAATAAATTAAATAATAAATATCACTGGTTTTGTACTCGGAAAGAAAATAAAACGAGAATCTACGATCTATCCTTTACTTCCTTGTGGCAGGCTCTGTGCATAGTGTAATTGTACTGACGTAGGAACGGCTTGTAGCAAACCTCGCAAATCAGATTCGTCTTCGAGTGGATCTTTTTGTGCTTCAGCAAATTATCGTTGCGCGAAAACGACTTGCTGCACACGTCGCAAGTGTAATTCTTCATGCCGTTGTGCAGGGTCATGTGACGCAGCAAGTGTTCTTTGCGCATAAACGATTTGTTGCAGTTGATGCATTTGAAGGGTCTGGCTAACTTTGGTTCCTTCGTTTTGGTTGCTGGCTTCTCTGTTTTCAGAATAACTGGTGCCTGATTCACCCACACAGTCACTGCTTTCTTCTTTTCCGATTTCAATTTCATCAGCTTCTCCATAACACTTGGTGGGTCATCTGCAGGCTCAACATAAATCATATCATAAGGATTTTTCTCTGTCAAATTAACACTCTTCTCAATCTCCATACAATCTTCCTTAACAGACTCCTCATCGCTACCCTTAAATCAAAGTGAAATTAGTTTAATAACCATTTCAATGACAACTCTTAATCACCTCATTAACTTTGATATAAACCTAAAATCAGATGTTTTATTATTATGTAGCGATAATAACTAATTAACAATTTACCATTCCAGATTCTTTGAAATCCTCTGTGTTTTGGTAAGTGTGCAGGTAACTGGAGAGCATCGTTTCAGATCTGTAACAGCAATTGCTGAATTTGTAATAATCCTCTAGGTTTCGCAAGCAAAAAGTGCAAATCCCCTTCGGAAGGTAATCATCTTCGGACACCTAATATGAAACACACTTAGTTACTTATATCTGGATTATTCGCAGTCATAGGCTTCAACTACCTTCAAAGAAAATAGAGTTTGAATTTTTTTCTGCAGTTCCAATTTAAGTCCTGTTTCTTTGAAGATATGTATTTTTTCGTCACCCTGGTTCGAGGCGCACAGACGACAGAGGTCATAGAAGTTGGCCCTCTTGTAACCACTCATTATTGTTAACGGAATTTCTTCAATCTCTCAAGTTAATTGTATATAAACAATAAGCCGACTTTAATTGTCACATCGTCCCACAATTATCCGGAAAACTGACACTGCTACCAACGTAAATCATCGAAAACAAAAAAAGTATAGAAGTCAATTGGATTGATTATGTTGGCTGCATTGACCTTTTGCATTATTTTAAAATTTCAAACTTTATTGATTTAAAATAAGTTTATTTTATCAATCTCAACTAATGGAACTAATTATGTACTTAAACAACGTATAAAAACCCAACTTACCAGAATGTTATGCATTTTGTTTAATGATACGTTTAATCAACTTCGTAATTTGATTGAATTTGATATTGCAATATGCGATTCTCTTAATTTTAACTTTCTCATTTTTAATAACAGAATTATTTACAACGTACGTTATTACAGCGCAATCATATGCACACACACAAAAGTCTTCATCGTCAATCATTCATCGTCATCTCCACCCCTCAAAAACAAAAAAAAATAATTAAATATATATATATAATCTATTCAAATATTTATAATAATATTTATAGTTCCTTTTCTTTTTATTTCATTTTATACATAACCTCATCATCATTTATCTTATTTTGCCTGTCTGTTCTTTTCCGCGAAAAACGGACGATAGATAAAAAATAAAATCATAAATGTCTTAGAGAAAATAATCATAATTAAAAAACAAAATAAAATAAAAGTCATCGTAAAAGAAATCCTAAATTTATACAATGTTACAAGTTAACATAAGTTTTTCCTGTTGCTGTAAATTATAAGAGAGAGAAAAAAAAACAAATGAAAATAATAATAATAATAAAAACAAAGGATGAAATTGAAGGATGTTTTGATCAAATTATCGAATAGTTTTTAAGTGAGAAAAGTTTCCTTTTCAATTTTCGTAAGAATGTGTAAAAAAAGAGAAGAATTCAAAGAAAACGTATTTATATATTCTTTTATATGTATAGTTTCATGTGTATGTGTTTTATGTGTGTTTATGTATTTCGTGTGAGAGAGAGAGAGAAAAAAAACGGATAAATTGGACGCTATTTTCTTCTTTAGTTTTTTTTCTTTTTCTTTTTGGATTGTTATGGGGAAGAAGAAAAATATTCCTAAGTGCACTTCAGGCTTTGTCACTAAGTTTTTGTTTTGTGTTATTGTTGAAACTCTTATTATTTTTAACAAAAAAAAACTATGAATGCGTAGAACGAAATAGTCGTAATTTGAAATAAACACATATTATTAAGTTTGAAGGTTCCCAAGAACATTCAACAATATTTTTCTTCTTCAAGAGTTCTTCCTTCGATTCAACGATATTATATTTTTTTTGTTGAAAATAAAACAATAATTAAAAATTAAAATTCATTTACACCTAAAAGTATTATTTTTACCTAAGCCTAGCGAAAAATTGTATCACTTAAAAACTGAAGTTCCTTTTATATTATTTACACAGATTAAATTGTCTTTTAGCCTCGAGGCTAGGAAAATCCTATGCTAGTCCTCGTCAGAAAGGGATTCATACTGGGCGCTCAGAAGTGGTTTGGGCTCGTTGGTTGGTTGCTGCTGCTGCTGCTGTTGTTGTTGTTGCTGCTGCTGTTGCTGTGGACCGTCTTTACTACCTCCTTGGACGTATGGGGTGAAAGAGTAGTTCACTTGGAATTCTTCATGCTTCTCCTCGTCGATCACCATTTCTCCAGGACTGTCACTACGATGATCCTTGCTCGAATTGTCCTCCTGCTCCTTTTTTCCATCCTCGATGCGCATCGCCTCTTCAATTTTATTCTTGACGTAGTCCAAAGGACTTATGTGTGAAGGTAGCGATTGTTGCGGGTGGTACCTTCGGAAGTGCGCCTCGTTGCTCGGCCAATGGTTCTCCGGTGGACTCACAGGTTCCACGTGATACTTCTGTTGCGGCTGAGCAATCCTAATTATCTGTCGTTCATCCTGAGGCGTCGAAGATCTCTCCAGATCTTTCTTCTGCTGGGCGGAGTATCTTCGCTTCCAGTCGGGGTGCTCCTGCAAAGGGTAGTAGTTGCGCGTACCAAAGTCGTGGCTGATCACTGTATCTGCTAGTTCCTTCACCGTTAAATTCTTGCTGCCGTCCTCCAGGTCCACCTGTATGATGGACGGGGACATCTCGCCGTTGCCGTCGTTCGGCTGCTCTCTGTGGAACGATTGAAACAGTATGTCGCTAGCCCTCTGAGGCTCTCGATTGTTCTGAACAACCTCTCCACGACCACCTTCGGCAGGCTGATTGATTTGATGCGTTATAATTGCATCGATCAAACTTGCAGCTGTAAGCGTGCTAGAATCGCTTCGCGGACCTGCCTGTCGTACTTGCTGCTGCTGGTGTTGATGCTGTTGCTGCTGCTGCTGTTGTTGGTGCTGCTGCTGTTGGTGCTGCTGCTGTTGGTGCTGCTGCTGTTGGTGCTGCGCCTGTTGTTGGTGCTGCTGCAACTGCTGCTGTTGGTAAGCACGTCGATGATGCTCGGTCTCCATTTTTTGATGCTGATGCTGCTGCTGCATCGCCCTGTATTGCTGCTGGTGTTGTTGCTGCTGTTGCTGCTGCTGCAAGTATTGGTATCGCCGTGGTTCCACAAAATTGTCAGCAATCGTCTTCCCAAGGCCTTCGTGTGCACTAGGTACAGGTAAACTGGGTTGTTGCACGGCGACATCCACCAGAGAGTTTAGGGCCTCGTGACCAGGAGGCGGATAGTGAGGTCTCGTATTTCTCTGAATGACCCCTTGTCTTTGCTGGGGCGGCGCGTGCTGCTGTTGCTGCTGCGGCGGTGGAGGTGGAGGTGTTCTGTGAGGGCTGCCTCCGTAATATTGAGGCTTCTCATTTTGTCTTCCGTGCATTTGTTGCGACGTTAAGTAATCGTAGTTGATGATTTGTCTTCTTTGCTCGAAACTCTGCTGGGTGCGACCGTACGCGTAGTTGCTTTGCTGCGGATGCTGCGGAGGCGTGATCTGCGGCAAGGGCGGACGCTTGTAACACTCAAACCTTTTGTCGGGCCTCGAAGGTGGCACATGGATGGGAGTTCCTTGCGTTATTGAGCCCATCTTCGGTAGTTCTGGTCGCAGCAGTGCTTCGTATCTATAGAAATAATAAAGAATACAGGATTTAATTCATCTTGTTAATAATCAAAGAAATCCAGGTTGATAGATAGTTTATCATGTTATTTTACCTTGTTTGGTTGACAATCGGAGTGCCCAAAGTTATTGAACCAGTCTTCGGATTGGCGAGTTTCGGACTGGGCATTTTATTGGGCAGTCGCGGTACAGAGGAAACGTAAACGGCTGACGGCTTTCGCTCAGTATGGTAGTGATATTGGGTCTGCTTCAGATGGGCAGGCGGCGGCAATAGATCTCGCCGTTTCTTCAGACTCAAATCAAGGGTGACATTCTCTGGACCATCAACCTGCATGACAACCAGATCCTGCTGCTGCGGCGGTGGCTGCACGATCTCGGGTTGCTGGGCGACCGGCACCGGCGTTATGGTGGCGCCAATCAGAGGTCCGAGTTTGGCAATGTTCAGGTCATTATTGGGCAACTGACGGGGCGCAGCGTTTAGATTATACTCGCTGACGATGGTCACCTCGTTCGAATCGTTTGAGTTTAGTATGGAGGAGATTGTAGGTGCCGTTCCGCTTGTCGGTGGATACGTGTTTCGTTGACCACCGGGTGCCTTCTTTAAAGAAATCTCTATGACGTTTAACATCAAATCTTTGACCGTCAGAGGACTCGTGTTCTGTCTAGGTTGACCATCGGTATTAACAGGAGTAATCGTCGCAGAGCCCTGGTAATGATCGGGCGTTTGTCCCTCGTCAGCTGTTTCAGTTGCTGAAGAGTCGTAATCCTCTTTTTTGCCGGTGTTCTGAGGTTGCTCTTGAATAACTGGCGGACTCTCAGCGCTCGCCGTATCGCTGGAATGTCGCTCTCTCATCGGCTCTTCACAGCTACTCGTGCTACTACCGCTCTCTTCTTCATCGGTGAGAGTCGGCTTCCGATCACCTAAACATGATTCCAAATTTAGACGCTTCCTATTTGCCGCGTAATAGCTTCTCACAACGTGAGCCGGTTTGCTGACGCGTTCACCGATCGTCTGCCAATTCGCTCCCAATTCGGTCAGAGCAGATCGTAGATTGACTATTTCCTCTTCGGCCCATTCTTCAACCGGTCCAAGTCGTCTCTGGATTCGGTTGAAACAGGCCGAGCAGCACTTCGTCACACCGCTAGGCACGTGGAACTCGGCTAGGATCGGCTCCCGGACGTCCGCCGGCAATTCCTGTAGCCTTTGCGGAAACGACCGAAGTCGCTTGCCACGCCCCCTGGCGTTAGGACAAGCCGGAAGTGGACAGTGCGTGAATCGAGATCGCACGCATTTGCATCTGCACGTATTGCAGACACGCCCATTTGGTGGCACTTGCTCCTCCTGCAGGCCGTACTGAGCCGCCTGACTCGGTGCCAATGGGCGTGAATGCAACTGCGGACCCAACTGCGCTCCGCATACCAAGCACTGACCTTGCGCTGATTTATCTGCAAGAAAAAAACACAAATTACTATTCAACTCCTCTTCTATCATTTCATTATCTTCAGAGCAATTGGTCTTGCTAATCAGTACAAGTTATGTATATCAAAGCTCCTCTAGCTAAGTCAAAATATAACTTGGATGAAATTGAAGTACCAAATATAGTGAAAACAAACTTCGAAATTGTAATGATTGCAAGAAAATTTCAAAGTCTTCACTAATCTATTTGAATTGAGATTCTACTATGAAGAATCAATTCTTAACACACATCATTTTTACAAGTAAAATATTATCGTTATTTGTAATAACTTGATAAAATCTTGAAAAACTTGCCACGGAACAAATCTAATATGCTTCAATATATATAAATACTATTTCTTATAACAATTACACCTAAGTTTGAAAATTGAATGGTGCAGGGTTTAATTAAAAACTGGGGTAATTAAATGAAATAGTACTGTCATATAAAAATTTTCAAAAGGCAAACGCCACTCAGAAAAAAGCACCGGCACTCGACAATCCAATAAAAATATATATAGCAGATGGAAGAGGAACGAAGAAGAAACAAACCGCAAGCAAGCACCAAAACTCTCATCCCTTTCCTGGAATATTTGCAGATAAATATTAATATTTCCTTTAATTAACGTTTTCTCTCCCATCATTTTCTATATATACATGTAAAAAATGTATGTATATAGTCAAACTAACTCATTCGCAATTTGCTCTGCAATTTTAAATTATTAAAATCGCTTGCACAAGGGGAATTACCCTTGCTAAAAGCGCCCTTCGTCAAACAAGCAGGTGCGTTAAACAGAGTAGAAAAAAAGAGGTAACAATCGAGGGGATTTAATAATTGGACATTGAAACGGAGGGATCATGGAGTTTAAAATCGGTGATAAAATATGCTCAAAGAGATGGAAAAGATGAGTGCAAACTAGAGAGAGGCAGAGAGAGAGAACTGCCGACATGTAAACATACGTATAAAGAGTATTATCCGTGCAAAATTAGATTATAAATATTTAATTTCATTACGTAAAGTACTTGACTAGAGAGAGAGAAAGAGGAGGAATGTCAGTGCTTCGGGCACGCACGGACAATTTTACATCTTCTCCTTGGAACCGCAATTTCAAGTGAACTTATTTTGCACACAGAGCGTTTGTTTTTGTTGGAATTCAAAGAAACATCATCAGAGAAAAAGTTATATATTGACTTAACTGTGTAAAAATTACAGCTAAAATTAACTTTTTACTTAACTTTCTAAACCTTACATAAATTAAGCAAAAAGTTAATTTTAGCTGTACTTTCCATTTAATTAATGTCCAAATTTACAATTGACAAATGCTCTATAAATTCAATTTCTAATTGTTGTTCTACATATCATTAGGCATTATTTCTGTCACCATATTTGTTATTCATATCAATGTTTTGTGGAATGATGTTATAATAATCCCTTTAAGTACTCAATCTATTAAAAATTAAATGAATTTAACAACATATACAATTCATACACATTTTTTTTTAAATAAGATTGCAAATAGTATAGTTTTGATAATGAAATTTAGTTTGATGTTTCGTTTTTCATTTGATATTGAGTTTAAGTCTCCAACTGGGAGCAATTATAATCGGTATAGGTCGAGTCGTTTTTAGTCGTCGGAGGCGGCGCCGGGATTGTATGTGTGCGCGAATGTTCATTCATTTTTCTTTTTTTTTTTGGTTCTTGTTCGTCGGAATTCGACGCGGCGTAATTTAGTTTTTGCTATAAGTAAATATTAAGCGAGAGGCCCTTCTGCAAACATGGATGTGGCTCGGTAATTGGTGTGTATGCCATGCCGCCTGTTCTGGAGAGAACTGCAAACGAATCCACCTAATCCACCTTAATTAGTCGGCAAAATCAACACCGAGCACCAAACACACACACATACTAATACTATGTAGCGTATACATATATATATATATTTCGAGGATAAGCCAACTGCAACAAGCAATTAAATGCAACGGCAGGACATTAAAATATTCATACTCTTCGTTCGATTCATTCTTTTAGTTATCTGTTATTTGACTCTTCGACGTGCAGAGGGTTTTCGGAGGGATTGAAACATATTGAGGGATGTAGACAGAGTGAACACGAGCGAATGAGCGAGAGTGAGAGATATGGGTTTGAGTTAATTACGGATTTATTAGATTCGTGGAAAACAAACGGACGGTGAGCGCGAGAGAGGATGAATCAATCAAATTTCGATAATAACATGCGGACCCGGACCATCATTTGTATCCATTACGTAATCCCCCGGCGTTGATCATGTAATTCGCGAAATTTACACGCAATGCTCCTCGTACACCTCACAATATATCAATATAGAGGATATTACACGTACATATGTTGTCGCTGCCTGCTTTAGATGCTAAATCAAGGAAGGAGAATGATACTTGCGTTTGACGTACGATGGATGGACTTTGTCATTTCATCTGTCACCTTATGTATTGATTTGTAAATTATTTCTGTTACGACCAACACAGAAAAATGATTTTCAAAGTCTTAATTTGCCCAGTATTGTACAGTTTAGTGGAATAAAATAAGTTTTGTATATATATATAAAAATAGATAATTAAAAAAAATCTTACTGAATGGAATCATCTTGAGATTGACTTAAGAGTAAGACAAAAAGAAGTAAGTAAAAAGAAAAGCATTGTATAAGAGTTAACACTTTTTTAACTAAACACAGTTAATTTTTCATTATTGTTTTCAAACATATCTAAAAACACTAGTTGAATTAATACCTTTGTTACATAGAATTTTGCATTCATCTCAAAGTTTATAAATGTTTGTAGATAAATTGTAAAATTGTGCTTGAAATGCAGATAAATATAATTATACAGTTAGAAATCAATACAGAATTAATTGAGCAATAAAGCAGCGTCGTATCGCCGTCTCCTATTTTGCCGTCTCCGTCCTATATGTTTTGTAATTGAATGTGGAATGCATCGGAGGGAAATGGAAATGTAAACACATGTGCGAATATGAATATTTAAAAAGGGCGCCTCTCTCTCTATCTCTCTCTTTCACTCTGTACGTATGCATGTGGTTGGATGGTGGTTATTTTCTTTTTTTTGCGTTCCCGGTTTCCCTTCTCTCTCCCCTTTATATCAACAACAACGTCGACCCAATTTACTAAATGAAAAAGAAACCCGCGGCGATGAGAGCAGATGACTATGACGATGATGATGTTGACATGACGATTGCAAAATTAAAAATAAAATACATACAATTATCGTAATGGAAAATTGACTCGGAAATCTACTCGATTTTGAAGATCATCTATGTTATATAAGATTTCTATTATTATATGTCTTCGAAATGAAGGTTATATTATATTAAGTTAATCTTGTTTTAACAAAAATTATATGTAAGTAATAGGTAATAAAGTGTTAATGGAAAGTATCGATTGCAAATGGTACACAAAAAATAAGTATGATTCTATGGTGGAGGCACAGATTATGCTTAAATTTAGAGAAATCACAATAATTTTTAATAAAAACGTTGTCAATTCTTGAAAAATAATATATGATGATAGTTTCACAAAGAATATATTAAATATTAAGTAAACTAATGAATTATATATATTACTTAACTTTAACTCTTTGAGGGGCCAGAAATTCCTAAATTTCTAGATCCAACAAATTTCTAGACAACTACGTCAACTGAATCAACATCAAGGTTCATAAAGGTGTTGTAATGTCATTGAAATTAAAAAAAAGTATTTCTTCTCATTCATAAGAGGTTATTTTTTTGGACATACTGTCCAAGTTACTTGCAAACAAAATTATAGTTATTAAAGATTACGCATAACAAGTAGCGAATGAAAAAATATTGGATTGTTGCTGTCCGTAATCAGGTTTGTGATAAAGATTAATTACTAGTGTAGAACCGATTCATACGAGTATCTTTATGGTTAATTAAAAAGTCCAAAAGATGGCGTTACAATTAAATTTGTTTATTTATGATAAGCACACTTGATGATGAGTACATCAGTTGAGTATCTAAATATTCTATATGGATAAATTGGCATTCTGTTGTATCCATCCGTTATACTTTTCATTTTCGTTCGAATGGTAACAATATTGTTTCATCCCACGCTTGAAAAACACAGGCAAATCGAATAAATAAGCCGATATTTTTTTTGTACGTCGATGTTCCTTCTTCGCATATTTTTTTTTTCAGACTGTTGATCGAATGTTGTTAATTGGCGCGTTGCTCTGTTTACATAATTGGCGCGGAGTGAGCGAGGTGCACTTTGTTTGGAGTGCTTAACATGCAGTTTAGTTGTTTTGTTTGGTACGAGCATGGATATGTATGATGAAACATCGCTGCTCCATCTCTCTCTTACACTATAGTTATCAGTCCACCGCTTTTCCCGGGAACGGATACACCGATGCAAATGCCGTGCAATAATTATGCGAATTGAAATATAGATATATTAATCAAATAAATTGCTTAGTAATCAAAATCGGGAAGCGAATCAAACACACGGTTAATTATTAGAATTATCGAGTTGCTACGCACGGTCGAATCGCCGATACGAAAAGCGGGGGTGGCGGTGGTGGTGGTTGCTGGCTTTCCCCCATCCTGTTACCGCCTACTCTCTGAATTTCGCCGCCGCAACTCAACCCCCAAACATCAACCCCCCCAAAAACCCCTTTTCATATGCACATAACAATGTACAATTCTCTTCTTTATTTACTCAATTCCTGGTACGCACATGCACGTACACATCATCATCAATGTGTATATTTTCAACCGATGCTCGCAGATTATTTAGAAACCTTAAGGGAATCCATTCCTGCCGGCTGAATTCGAAACGATAAATTACCAAATTATCGCAAACATTGACAAACCACGCAAATGTCAGCAAAAACATGTAACATTTGTAATATAACATGTGTATTACGTTTTCCAAACCGATTTCAATTCTATTATTATCCAATCAAATATCAAAATTAAACTTTTTTTTATATATAAATTCTTTAATTTGTTTCAAAATCTGCAATTCCTATTTTGTCTGTACGTTGTAAATAGTTTAAATCGAAATGTTATTTCTTTAGTTCATTTATAGAAATATGTTTTCTATGGTTTGTTAACTTCCAAAACTAAACAGTATAATCCACTAATATTCCGGACTGTTTGAAACAGGACTGATCGAGAAACTAAATACAAACAGTAAACAGCACAAAGAGACATGATTTTATAAAGCGGGGGTTCCAAAACTTTTTCGTTCTGCGGCGCCCCCATGTCGAAACATTGGGCGCACTTTATGTTAATATATCAGAATTTGCAGTGGTTTCCCCTGATATAAAAGAGAAAAACTTATACGAAATAATATTGTGTACTAATTTTTTAGATGTTTTTTTTTTTAAATTTTCAAAACGGATAAAAAATATTGCAATATTTAACAAAAGTTTAAAGACATAGTACGAACTTCTTTATTTGTGTGTCTTGAATCAAGACTCTTGATTGAGACATATTATCTAGATTGACAGAAATTATGAAATTTGGTGTGAGGTAAGTGTAGTCTAGTTTTTGCAGTTTAATTGATTTTGCATACATGGAGATGATCCTCGCGTGGATATGTGTGCATGAGCGGTGTGGAGAGGTGGAGAAGATTCTGTAGAGGTCCTGTTTGGCTCTGGTACCACGATATTCCCATGGGGACGAAGAGATTGAGAGATAGGACAGGAGAGCGAGGAGCAAGAGGCGATAGACAGAGAGCGCAGAGCACGGGGCTCAAAAGCAAACACTCTCCCGGTGATTCGAGCGAGGAGTTTCGGGGGTGGAAACGCGCACATTATTATCATCATCATCGGGACTCGAGGCTAATGAAAAGATTTTCCGCATGAATTTAGACGTTGTAGTTTATATATTTCCTGTGGGACCATCCGTCCCCGAACAGCGAAATATATATAGAGAGAAATAAAACAACCGTAGCAGAAAGAAGGGATGAAAAAGTGAGTACAGAGAGATCGAGGAAACCGAATAAAAAAGAAGAAACGCAAGAATACGTCGAAATAAAACAATGATAATGATGGCAATATGAAAAATAAATGGAAAAGAAAGAAGTGCTGCCTCACGGAATTGGAAAGAGGAAACAGCGGAGAAATTCAAAACGACGATTGTTATCTGACCGAAATAGGATTAGAATATTAATATTGTAATTTCGTTCGTTTCGTTTTTAATAATACAATGGATCGTGCAATAATATTATAATTGCGTTTAGATCAATTTGCTGGTGATAAGAGGGCTTCACTTAATATCGTGGATGGGTGGTGGTGTTTTTTTGTTGATAAGAATCGTGCCTTCTTTTCCTACCGCATTTCCACTTTATTATTTCCCACTCGCAATCAACAGATAAAATATAAAAATGTAATAACTCCAAATAATATTGATATTCAATTGTCCGCCTCACCGTGCATGACCGCCTACCTCACAAACAAAAATAAATAATAACAGAAAAAAAAAAGGAAGAAAATAATGAAGGGAATACAATTCATTAGCTGCATTCTCCTATATGGAAAATATTATCTACTCTTATACATTAATTACTTATTTCAATTATTCATTCGAATTATTAAGTTTACAATTGATGTTTTAACATCAATTTACCGTATTTAAACGCATCGCTCTCTCTATTTCGTTTAATTGAGATAAGTCACATAATTTTACAATGAAATGATATATTTTGTTTACAAATGCAGCTCTTACGTTTACTAATGAATGTAAAAATTGAAGACATCTTCATTATGTAAATTAAATTCATAAATACACTTAACTTTCTAAAACTATTAGCAAAATAATAATAAAAAAATCTTTATTAGTCACCAATTGTAACCAAATGGCTATCAACCTAAGTCTTTCCGCCCAGTAGCAAAAAAATATACTATAAATTAAGTAAAACGTTACAAACATAAAACTAATATAATTAGTGATGTAATGTTGGTAGAAATTCCACCACCAACACTGCAAAAATATGTTTTGCCATTCTCTACGGATTTCGACGTCAACTCAAGACTATGCATACTTTTCAGGAATGCCAAAATGCGTATGGAGTGAATGCGTGTTGGTTTTGCTCAATATTTCTTAGAAAAATTTGAAAATGCACCATTAGGAAAATAGTAACAGTTGATGAATCTTGGTTCTATAAGTACGATCCGGAAACCAAAAAACAGTCCATGGTATGGAGTACAGAAGGTGCAAATCTCGCCACAGTTAAATCAAGGACACAAAAATCAGCAACAAAAGTGATGGTGGCAATGTACTTTACCAGGGCAAAATTTGTAGCTGATATCCCACTGGAAACTGGCCAGACGGTAACTGCTAAGTGGTATACAGATACTTGCTTACCACAAGTTTTTACAAATTTGTTGGGAAACCAGAGAAAAGGAGAACTTCGTCACTACTTTTTGCACCATGATAATCCACCCGCTCACACTGATGAAAAAACCAACAACTTTCTTGAGCTCTCTGGCATCAATGAAATTCGCTTAGCATCTTACTCTCCGGACCTAGGGAAGAGTCTTCAGTTCGAATGAGGAGATCATTAATGCAGTTAATGTCGAACTTGAAAAGATCCAAAAAGCCGATTTTGAGTAAAATTTTGAAAGGCTCTACCGACTTAAGAAATGTATTAAAATGTATGGAAATTATGTTGAGAAATTACAAAAGGATGAAAATTAAATATATTAAAATAAAATTGTTTTTTTTTTGCTTTTTTCAAGTGAAGACATGGTAAATAAGTAATTAAAAGGCGTATATTTTTTTTTAGATTAATTGATTAAATGTAAATATGCGGGTAGCGAGGGCAAACAAGAAAATTTAGAATTCTCTTACGAATCGACGCCAAAAGAATCTGCAAACGGCTGCTTAATTGAATGAAGACTAAAACGGACGGTGGTAATTGGACGATGAAGGAATGGTAAGAAGGGAGTCCCGTTCTTAGGGGATGAGAAGAGGATCCGTCCCCGCGGTTCCTTATTAATTGGCAACGAATTAATTAAATATCATTCAAAAATTCGCATAAATCAATTGGTAAAATAAAGGAAAACGGAAATCAAAGTTGGGGAGGACTACAAAAAAAAATAAATGAATAATTAAAGTGTGTGTATATATATCGAAATAATAAAATGAAAGAAAGATGATGAAGCTGGAGTAGATTGTGTTGGTCGTTGAAGGAGCGTCGACCAATGGTACGAGCCGCATCTCGACCCCCGCTACTTTCCGGGGGTGGCGCGTCGCGACGCTCTATTTGATTTTGAATTGCGTGTGAGCGCTCTGTATAAGCCGCAGATCAAGCAATATTTCCCTCAGTTATGACTTATTAGCCATCAAATCAACAACCACTCAAGATAAATATTCCAAAGTGTATACATGAATGAATGAACGAACGAACGTTCATACCTATCTATTATACACATTCTTTGGAGTTTCCCGCTTTTATGAACTTGATTTAAAATATATTATCACACAGTAAGTACATTTTGTCATCATGTAGTGTTTAATGCTTGAACATTTTACAACTTATTTGTCACTAATTTATACAAAAAAAAATTATTCACAATGATACTTTACAATATTTTGTAAATTGATTAGGAAATATTGCTCTTCTTCCAAATTATTTCGATTCTCAATCATTCACATTTTATAACTTCCGGATAAAATTATTTAAAATATCAAATTAAATACACATTAACAATAATGTCAATGTTTCAATTAAAACCTATAACACCTATAACATTTGGTAAATTTATTTCTATTGATAATATTTCATTAATTTGAAATAAGATATCCAATTGAAACTTGTCGAATTAGATTTAGTTACACAAATATTTGCTAATGTTCCTTACGTAAGTTGCATATGAAAAACATTACACGTTGATTCAAGAAGACTTCAGACGTGATCACTTATTGTGAATTTACTAAAGTAAACGAATACTTCAAATGTATTGTAGAGAATTGCCACCGTAGATAAATTTAATTGTCAACAATTTTTGTTGTAAATAATGAAAGAAAACTTTAATAATTTGCATACAAAATATTATAAAATAAGTACTCAAATGCATATTATTTTAAATAAACTTCAGTAATTATTCGTTTTGTAAAAGATTTTGTGAATTTATATTGAAAGAACAAAAACAAAAACTGAATTGTAAATCGATGTATCAGAATAATTAGTAAAATGATTTTAAATCGTGACTTTTTAGATTGTGTTTTATTGTAGTTAAAATTTTATTTTATTTTATATTATCCAATTTATTTATTACATATTTGTATATTTATTTGTACAATAGTTTGTTGTCAATTCCATTTGTTGCATTTGTTTAACTTTCATTTTGTGGAGGAAATCGCAAAAATAATGGTAAACGCATCGAACATCCGACTAATGAAATTGTTTGTCAACCGAGGGATTAAAAACAATAAATTAAAATCGACAAATGGGGTCCGCGAAATAAAATGAGCAAATTGAATTGCCATTTGATAAAGAGACATTTTCAATCGGATTACAGTATGAATTGTGCATTTTTTGTGTGTATGTGTATATGTTTATTGAAACAAGTCGAAAAATTATTATATGCGCAAACGATTTCCAAAACAATATTTAAAATCAATCCACAAAATTAATAATTCTACCAAAAAAAAATAAAGGTATATGCTGCTGGTATTTTGTAATATGTACGAGCCATCGATTTATGATTATTTAATTTAAACTATTGCTGCCCGTGTTTCGAAAATTCGTTTAATTTATTAAATGGAAATTCGAAAAACCTTCCTTTCTGCACCTAAACATCAACAAAGCAGCAGCAGCAGTCCCTAAAAAACGGGAGAGCCACAAAAAAAGCAATTACAATTAATTGAAAACAATTGATTTCGAGAATATTGTTAAATCACGTTCGTGAATTGAATTTGATTTTGATTAGTCTAATGTAATTATTTGTATTTTTAAACCGAAGGATCAACAAAATCATATTTGAATTTAATCAACTTTTTATTATGATTCAAAGTTTTCTTTCTCCTATTCTGGCCTAAGTTTTAAATTATACACTTTTTGTTATTACTAATTGAAGGTGGTTTTTATTTTTTTTCAGAGATGTATTCTTTATATAGGGCTTGGCTTTCCATGGGGCCATGTGCTAATGTGCCACCGATGTTACCAAGTATGCCTGGGACGAGTACGAGTATTATGCCATTAAACCTGACGACGCCTCCTCAACTAGCGAGCGCACCTGATGTCAACTTGCAAGTAGGACCATCGATGATCAACTTCTCAGCTCATAAGGCTGTCCTATCCGCGCACAGTGGCTTCTTCAAAGCAGCGCTCACATCATTAACTGGTAACAGTCTATATAAAAGAAAGCGGTCCGAGCAATTGTACATCATTATCGCTTCTTTTTTTGTGTGTTTTGCAGCAGGGATGGGCCCCATAGCGGTTCCGAACATTAACGTGGACGAGTTCTCATCTCTTCTGACATTTATGTACACGGGTTACCTGGATCTGAACCTGAGCAACATCTACAACATTCTCCTCGCCACGCATATACTGCACATGCCGAGGGCACTCGAGATCTGCCGCTCCTTTCTCATGCAGAGCCACCCATTGGAAGGAACGCGTTTGGGTGGTGTGACAAACGTGATCAAACCGATTGCCAGCAGGAAACCGATTTCCGCGCACCAGGAGATCTGTCCGCCTATATTTTCGAGCCTGGAGAAGTCCGAGGAGACGCCCTTCAAAAAAGTTGAAGCGCCTGTGGCCAAAGAGGAAGTGGCTCATGCGTCGACATCCAAAGAACCGGAAGCGGAAAAACAGAAGGTGCGAAAGCATAGACGCGATAGCGGCATTGCCGAGAAGGTTACCATCGACATAGCCTGCTGCGATGGACCGGTACGTTTTCATCGCGTCGTCAATAGGAACTACGGACTCGCGCCTCCGGAAACGGATGTGGGTAACCGAGAAGCGGTGAACAGGAGCGACGCTCTGAACAAGATCATGAACGAAAACATCCGCGATAAATTAACGGATGAGAATTCAGGAGGAGGCGAGGTGTTCACCTGCATGTATTGCAATCACACTTTCAAATCGCAGTATTGCTACCAGAAGCACGCCCGAAGACATTTAAACCCTGTAGATACAAAACCTCCGGCGGAAACTAAGCGCGAAGTCAAGTTGCTGGACATGAACGTGCAATATTACCCCTGCAAGACTTGCGGTTCAAAATTTCCTAGTTACTACTTCGTACACAAGCACAGGAAATTATGTCACGCCGAAGAAATGTCTGATACCACAAACAAGAACAACGAAATCGTTCAGGTTAATAACACCAACGTCCCAGCTTGCAGCGACGACATAACAAAGGACAGCAACAGCGATGCCCAGACTTCCAGTATCATAGACGTAGAGGAAACAGAATAGTGTCACAAAAGAAAATCGAAACCGCACGCACCTACTAACCTGTGATTAGTTAACCTAACTTACTCTATCAGTATTATAGAATAATGCATATCATGATGAATGCATGCCGATTATAACGGTAATTAACAATTTCGTGCCAATTACACTTATATAATTTTTGTAGGCCTCTGAGCAGAGAAATAAAGCAAAAAAGGAACTAACCTTGAACATCGTTGGCTTCATCATCGGTGGTCTCCATCAAGACATTTTCTTTATCTTTTCTCCTCTCCTTCTTCTTTTTGTTCTCCACGACCGTCGTTGTCTGATCACTGCAAAAAGAAAGAAAAACAAGAGAATAAGCGAATCAAGACTTCACAAGCAACACTCTTCCATACATATTTATTGTTTATTCTTGCATAAATCATGTTTTTTTTTTCATTTTCGATCCATTTTATTCCTGCGGCCGCGAGAGTTTGTGTATGATAATTGCGAGCGTAGTCAGCGGGTTCCGAATCCCGGGGCACCCCGAAAAACACTCCCCCAGATTGTAAATGCAAATCGTGTGTTTGAGATAGTGGGATTTCAATCAAAAATATTGAAGGGTGCCCCCGTCCCCTTCCGCTACTTTCCCAACATCAGACCCCTTAAGATCAACATTCAATTCGCTCAAATTATTACCCGGCGGATCCAATTTAATGCAATCATCTTTCATCTCCCGTTGGCAGCAGACGAACACAAGGTTCGTTATATATGTATTTATTCGGACGTGGATCTTTGCAGAAATCAATTAAAACTCTTTAATCTTAATCCAAATTAGTCGTTGCAAAAGAATGTCGAATCTTATCGATGTGCGAGGAATTGTGTTTTATTGAGTGTTATTAAATTAAATGAGACTTGATTCACATTTGGTTTTCATATGTATCGCAGTGGCGACATCTAGATGGGGGATGGTTGTTTAAATGTAAGCTAACCTTAAAGGGTTGTCCGCCGGTTCTGCAGGGTCCTTTTTGAGGTTCGTGTCGGAGCCGGCGTTAAGGGCGCCACTGTCGTCATTGTTCGAGGAGACCGCTTCAAGCTTGATCTCCGTTTTGATTTCCACGATGGTGGAATTGTCTTTGTTTTCTGAGGTTTCGGCCGGAGATTTCGGTACCTGCGGGTTGGAATTAGCGATAGACGTCGTCGTCGTTGTGACAATAGCTGCGACGGAGGAGGCTGCGATGGCGGCAACCGAAGTCGAAACCAATGTCGATGAGGTGTTCGTGATCGGAGTCGAGGGGGTAGTAGATGTTGTTGTGGTAGTGGCAGTAGTGACCACAGTTGTCGTGGTTTTGGGCGGTTCTTGAGGTTGATCTTGCTGAGAAGCGGCAGCAGCTGCAGCAGCAGCCGCCGCTGCGTTACGTTGCTGCTGCTGCTGACTGCTAACAGTTTTCTGCTGCTGCTCCCTTTGCAACCTAGTCGTAACACCTGTAGTGAGGATGTCGACGACAGAGGTGTTCGCGCTGCTATTAACCTTTTGAGGGTTGTTTCGCGAGCTGCGTGTCCTCTGCCGCGACTTCCTCAACAGCTGCTTATAGTTCTCTGTTTTTTTACTGAGGTAATAATATTGAACACAGTCGGAGACAGACTTCCTGTCCAAATACGACGCAATCACACCGAAGTTCTTCGGATGCTGAAGGTACTTCTCCTTGAAGACCTCCTTCTCCGCACTCGTCCAAACGTTCATAAATTGCCTGGATTTGTAAACGGCCTCCATATCGTCTATGTGACCATTATTGTTCTGAAAAGATATCTTTCGTTCCTTGGAATCCAATAAAATTGGTGGGATAACGGCGTAACTCCTCATTTTCTTATCTTCCAGCGCCTGTTCCTGGAGATTGTCCATTATTTCCTCTAGATCTGCTTCGGATTTAATGCGAGCTCCCACACGATTAAACCTGAAAACAATTTCGTTTAATTCACGCTGAATATACTGATAAATGAAGATTACACAAAATACCTCTCCTTGTCCTCTCTTTGCTTCCGGAGTTCGGGAAAGACTTTTTCGAAAAAGTCTCGGTTCTTTGCCTCTTTGACTTTGCGTTTCGTGCTCCCTTCAATCTTTTCTACTTTCCTCAGCCATTCCTGCATTAACTTACTATATGTGTCGGTGAGGTAAGTGTTGCGTTGATCTTTCTCCACGTGCCGTTTCTTGAAATATTCCAGCAGATATTTCTTAAAACTGATATTCCGCCTCTTGTTCTCTTGATAGACCGCCGTGTCACTCGGCTGATTGTAAATCGGCCAATCAACTTTTCCACCCAAAACGTCCAATTTTGCGTGGGCATTTTGCGCTCTCCGTCGGTTCTCTGCATATATCTTCTGAGCGAGGCTCTGGTGTTTAGGTTGGCAAACTTCTTCCTCCTCCTTTTTCACTGACGGCTTCGAAGCTGCCTCCTCCAATTCCTGCTGCTTTTTCTTCAGTATTCCGATTTGCGATTCAGCCTTGGCTATCTCACGATCAACTTTGCTGATTTGCTGCAACAAATCGTCCTTCGTCGTTCGGAACGCCTGGTCTTCCTGCTGGACGTGATCGGGCAATGTTGGTGATATTGCTTCAACTTGAGGATTGTATATGCCCTGCTGTTCCTGAACACAATAGAAATATTAATTTACCCAACTGAAAACTGTAATTCTTATCCCATCATACCCTGGTGTCTATCCTGAGTGGTTGGATATCTTTGTTATCCTGCAACCTTATCTTCTTGAAGGGTTGCTGGCCCTGTTCAATGATGTGGTGTTGGGATTGATGCAGGTCCCTGGACCTGGGATACTCCGAGTGCAATAGGGAAATCCGAGCTGGGCGGATATCTCTAAATGGAAACGGCGGACAATGGGAATACCTCTGCTGGGTGGGCGTCGGCTGCAGCTGGGGAGACGCTGGATAGGGATACCGGGTGGCGTTCGAAATCGGCGATCTCGAAGGCTTATAGAGTTCGGTCTGCTGCGCATGGTTCGGCCTGTAACAATAATAACAACAATCGGTTAATGGACAGGAATGAAGAACAAAAAATAGAAGAAAAATCAACAATCGGTCGAACTAAAAATATATTAGCCAAATCGATTTGCTAAGCTAATATTTACTAGAGGCGTAGTAATTATAATTACAGTCGGATAGAGTAGAACGCAAAGAGAAAGAGAAGTTTTATTGAAGAAAAACTCGGTGCGGAATTTTCTCAGGTAAACACAATTAAATACTAATTTCCTTATAATAACAACTTGCATCACCGGGACCAGGTTGTGCCTTGTTACACACAGACACTGCAATGGTAATTGCATTTTAATGGCAAGGCTATACAAAAATACTAAAAAAAAATTAACGGTGACTCATGATGCACATCTATATCATCTCTACTATTTTCTTAGGAGATTTTTTTTACTATTTTTTTTATTTCATTTCGACTCCGTGCGGCAGTTTTACCCTTATTATTTTATCTTTTTTGGAGCTTCAATCATTGAGCTTATCCTAGCAGGTTCTCCTGCTGGGCCCAGGGCCCGGCGGGCCACTGCTGCCCGCGGGGCACGCGTGTATAATGCGTTGACCCCACTTACGACGAGCGGAAAGGGAAACCCCAAATGTTCACGCCCTGCGCATCGCAAAGAACGCATCCCATTGGACGACTGAGCAACCGCCATTCCATAATGTCTTTCACTTATCCATTTCCCACGCGGAGCGCTATCCAGGCCACGCCCACCTTCAAATATACAGGGTGATTCCCGCATCCGCTCCCCATGATTTATTATTTATAACCACATACGCATACAACGTGAACGGTGATAAAATGTAAATGTATTCGATGCGAAGCTGTATTGGTTTCGACACTAAAGGCCACATAAGAAATGCAGATGCAGTTAAAATAGTGGACAAAAGATGATGTCGGTGGGTGTGTGTGTACATCATCGAGCCTATGACCGAAGATCCCC